TTTGGACATGTCCAGAGGAGGGACAGTGGTTTGGACATGTTCAGAGGGTATATTGATAGGATGTTAGAAATGCAGCTGCCAGGAAAAAGACACAGGCGAGAAATATGGATGCAGAGAGGACATGGAGTTGGAGTGAGGACAGAGTGAGATGGAGGACTCGCTGTAAAGTTTAATTGGACAGTTTTATTGGGATTGGGATTGAGTTGACATCAGCCTGATCATAAAAGTTGTTCACACTTGTTCCGTCCTGACGCTCCAGAACAGTTCTGTCCTTAGAAAAGTATTATTTACCCACGAGATGAGGCAGACAGCGTGTACTTGTATGTTTTGTGGGGTGCACACACCTCCCTGGTGCTGCTTCAACACAGTGTTTGTTCTGTCAGACGGTGGCAGATCCAAGGTGAACGCCTTTTGTTTCTTTTGCAGTTGGCTGCTTCTTATCTCTCGTGGCTGTGGAGAACAGTCTGAATACTCCCCTCTGCTGCTGATAAATGTTGTTGGTTGTTTGGGTCTGCGGCTGGGGCTGCCATCACCAGCCAGCCAAAGTGATTGGATCCATTTGCAGAATCTTGACAGGAAACAGCTGCATGCCAGCCTGCCCCACCCTCCTTCCTGGGGCTTTCTCTCGTGGAGCTTGATATTTTTGAGTCAAAAATCCTCTGCTCCTTCTTTCATTCATCCCCACGTGGTGTCAAGCACCACTTTGTTGCCATCTGAATCCTCAGCATCACTGTGACAGTCTCCTAACAGGCACTTGGAGATTTTGAGGATGGTGTGAATTTGTGGATTGCTTTGTGAACGTGTGAATGTGTTGTGTGGCTGAGCGTTGTGTGGCGAGTGCTTCCTTAATTGGTGCTAATCAAAGAAGCGAGCAGCAGGGGAGGAAGGCAGCAGATAATAATGACTTAGTGCTCGGATGAATTTCTGATTGAGCTTCAGGAACCCCGGGCCAGAACGTCGTTTAGTTAATGACCATAAAAACAGCCGCAAAACTGCTGAAAATTACCTGCAAAGGGATTTAAAATAATTGAACGGGGCTGCAAAATGACAGCAGACATGGCTAATTGTATCGAGACAAAAAGAAAAAGAAAAACAGAAACAAATAGAAGAGCAATGGAGAGGAGAATATTTTTAATTGAAGGCCTAGCATTCCTTGAAGGGATGGAGATCACTCTGCTTTTCACTGTTAAACTAAGATTAGTGTTCAGAAATGATGGATTTGTAGCCATTTTGTTGAAACCAAAACAATCGTGCAAAATCTCATTGAATATCACAAGATGTCACTGTGTGTTGTGAAAAACTCTCACCTACCACATCAAATTTTAACCCAACATTTGTAAAACTGACTGAATTATAGATATAGGTCAGCTAGCTGTGGTGGCCATCTTGAACTAAAATGGCACTAAAAGTAAATTTAGTGATTATTGTCAGGGCATTTTTGGTCAAGGTTTATGGATGTTTTTAACTACTATGACTGAGCATGTAAACTGCCCATGAACCATGTGTTTGAGTTCGAGAGTTCTTTTCTCTCTCAGCGAGCGCTGAACGAGGAGATGATTTGATCCTGCATGTGCAGCTGGGTGGCCGAGGACATCAGTGTCTGCCTCTGAGCTGAAAGCTGATAAGTTTATAAAAACAAAGCTCGCACGCTGCTCGTGGCAGATTCTCGTGACGGCTCCATGCATGTAGCACTTCTGAACATCTGTGAAACATGTGGAGAAAAGCTGCCATTGAAAGTAAAACCAGTTAAAAACGTTCTTGTGTCCTCGAGCGTGGCTTCGATATGTAAAATGAATAAAGGATATTTTTATATATTATTCCTGAAATGTTCATTAAACTCTATTGTATATTAAAAAAATATTTTGCTGACACAAGCGGGGTCGTCTTCAACAATTATCGCTAAACTTTTAGGCAATGCTAAATAAGTTGTGCTCAGAATGTGTTGGGAATCAGCGTCAGCTGGTATCACACACATTTTATACCATCTGTAAAAGTGACCGTTATGTTAATTGGCATTTTCTCAGGGGCCGAGACGGGGTAGAGGCAGGTCAGCTGACCCGGGACCCGAAAGTCCCAGGTTCGATCTCCCGTCATTGCACATCTCATGGTGTCTCTGAGCAGCACACTCCATCCCCAACTGCTCTCGGGTCACCCCCAGTAGCTGCCCACTGGTGGATGGGTCAAATGCAGAAAGCCAATGTCACCATTGTATGGAAACATACACTGATTACGATACAAAACATTATTCTTATTGCTTTTTTTGTGTTTTTTACATTCAGTTGGCTGTGGTGGCCATCTTGAGATGGCTTCCCTGAGGTCAGCGGACCAGTTGCTCCTCACAGTTCCAGGAACTCGTCTTAAGCGCAGAGGTGACAGGGCCTTCTCTGTAGCAGGACCAAGACTTTGGAACGAGTTACCTCTGCTTGTCAGACTGGCCCCCTCCCTCACGGTTTTCAAGTCCCGTTTAAAAACTCACTACTATTCAGTAGCTTTCAACACCAGATGATCTGTGTTTTGATCCTGTATGCTCCACACTGGTTTGTCGTCATTATCTGCATCGTTTTTTTGTCTATATTCTGATTTACCTCAGTTTGTATTTTGCTTTGTGTGTTACCTGTTGTTCTGTCTGTACAGCACTTTGGTTGGCCTTGTCGCTGTTTTAAGTGCTTTATAAATAAAGTGGTATGGTATGATTCCAAAAGTTATTAAATTGTAGATGTCCACTCAAAGATTAATTTGTGAAAGTTTTATTAAAATCTGTTCATTAATATTTGGTCAAAGACAGACAAACACACACGCCGACATGTGCAAAAACATCGCCCACCTTTGTCTTTTGGCAGCGGGTGATAAAAATTACTTCATCCAAAGAAAGAAATGCATTAAAGTTTAATAAAAACTGAACTGAATTCAAAATTATGCAGGCTGTTCAGACATGAGTCGGTGGCTTTAATGTGGTGAATGATGCTTTAAATTTTTGAAGTTCAGCAAAATCTCACATTTCCAAAAATCATTAAAACAAGAAGCATTTTCCAATTTAAAGTGCTGCATTTCTGCAGCAACCTTTCACATTGTTGGTAAATGTATCCAAATGCACAATTCTAACTTTTAACATAAAACAATTGACAATTAAAGATTAACATTCCTTGAAGGAATGTGTATCACTCCTCATTTTTCTTGTCAGAAGTTTAGCTAATTAAACACTGATGTGTGCTCTCATGCAACGCTGCAAGATCTCTCTTTTAATACGACGCTCAGCTCATAACAACAAATGTTAGCTCCGTGTCTGTAAACCTCAATGTGTTCAAGTCAGTTTTATGTTGGCTAAGGCAAAACAAATAAAATAAACGGTGGTCATCTTGAATTTGACTGACTGTAGTTCAATCATTATTTGTTGAGAGACTCTAAAATCCATAAATTCTTCATGACATATTTGATACTACAGA